TAGAGCAATATTTATTTTAATATAATATTAAGTTTTTATCTCATTAATTTCTTTTAAACATTTTTTATATGATGTAAATGATGAATCACGAATACGAAATTCATTTGCAGTCTTCTTTTACACTACTTTTGTAATCCTTTACTACTCTAGAATTTCCTTGGTTTCAGGTCAAATGGATGATGTACTGGATAGTATTCGCGCTGTTCACATGCGCGGAAACATTCACCGACGTCTTCTTTAGTTTTTGGTGAGAAATACATTGCTATTAAAAATTCATCCGCTATGTAATTTGTATAAATTATGTGTCTTCTGTGACTTATCTTGATAGGACACGATTAAGATCTATTATTAACGTTAATATATTCATTCATAGAAGTATAATAGTAATTGAAACATCCATGGAGACACAAGATCATCTTATAAAAACACTCGTACATTAATTAGATTTGTTTTATATTTGCACTCTCTCTATCGCAAGTAATTATTACCAGAATTAATATTTTATTTTTTAATATAATATATTAATCCGTTAATATGTATTAGAAAAAATTCTATATTCCTATCTTGAGCATTATTAAATAATTAGTATAAAAATAAAAATAGTTTTGCAGCTTCAAGAATAAATCAAATACAAATACAATACCACTATGAGCCTTCGCGGCTGTTGATGAGTAAATAATATATTTATTAGGTAATAAGATATAATTCACAATTGGAAATACACAATGTAATAATCACTCAGTGCGGAAATCAAGTACAAACTACAGTTTGCGTAGTTTGAACTTAACTTCTGGAACTGAGGAGGACTCAGATCCAGAGTCGAAATGTCTGCAGTTAAATTTGTTTGTAAGTACATTTCAATTGTTTGCGAATTATATCTTATTGCTTTATAAGTATAATATGTTATTTACGCTTCAACAACCGGAGACTCGTATTGGCATTTTACTCATATTTATTATTATAAAAATTATATGTCGATTTTTCCGTTATAAGAGAAAATCAATGAGTGAGTCTATTGAAGTTCCTAAAAAAGTCTGTAGAAGCTGAGACATGTAGGAAACAGCGTCGCGTTGATTTGAGGGCAGCGACGAGGAACATACATAGTATATAATGTACCGGATATTGAGATGAATCTTGGAATCGTGGCAAGTATGAGAGCAAGCCAAAGGGCCAATAAACCAGCTGCGGACCACGCAGTCTTGAAAGCCGCACTCTCGCCGTGAGGAATTCCGAAAGTCTAATTTCGGACGAGATAGATATTGGCTTACATGCACTTCTGAGGATTCTGTCCGCGCACCTCCCCTGGTCTGCCTCCGTCCTCTCCGTCATTGCTCCCCTATTCTCTATCTCTCTTTCTTTCTCATCCTCGGGGAACATCACATGCGCCAGATCTCCCTTCATACTCGGGTTACAACCAAGAAGGAAACGAGTTCCCGCGTATTTCTGGCGTCGAAATGCCTGATATTCTCCCGGCGCACCGGTGTATTGCATTTCTCCACGCCGCTCTCACTTTCACGTCCGTGACGAATTTTTCGCGACGCGAATCGAATCGAGTAGATTACAGCTGCGTGACGGCACAGCGATTGCCCGCGATCAACTATTTTTATTCTTATTACGTTATGATTACGTATTAAAAACGTGACAAGTTTATTTAGAAATCCCGGTCAGATAAAAGCGCGTCCTTGTCGAATTTATGTCTCGAATAGCTTTATCCGTTAATTTGGAAATGTAACAGATTTTAGAGATTCTTTTTTACAGGATATTATAACACTTTTATGTATGTAAATATATTTATTTCATTGCAATGTCGTAACTTATACTTATTTGTGTGCACACAAAAATGTATATAAGTTTCAAAATATCTTTGAGAAATATCGAGCGCATTGGCGCATGCGATATTTTACACGCCTTGAACGTTTGTTACGTAGGTTCCCGTTTTACTATGAGATTAAAATCATCCTGGTGCTGTGGCTGCTAAGCCCGGCTACTAAGGGCTCCAGTATCCTTTATCGGCGCTTCGTGCATCCCGCGCTAATCCGTCGTGAAGCCGAGATCGACGAAGCCCTAGCACGTGCGACCGAGCAGGGTTATACGGCGGTGCTGCATCTCGGTACTAAAGGCGTGAACTATGCCACCACGGTCCTCATGCAGACTGCTATCAAGGTAAGGCCCTATGTGGTCCAAATATCAGAAAGTGTATTGTCATTGTACAAAGTGCCTCGGAATTATTCCTTTCACCTGGAGATTCTTTGATCAAATCGATTTCGAAGAATCCGCGAATGAAAGATGGAATGACAAACTGGGACACTGTGTATGTAGAAGTAGAAAAGAAACTGGCAGCTTCAAGGAGAGTTACGCTTTGGAAACTTTTATATTGCGATATTTGTGATATAAATTTGACATAAGTGTAATCGATTATTTATTTTTTACATAAAATTACATAAACATAATTGTTTGATCTTGTATTTCAACTAGCCTGAGCTCTCGCTTTAATTGACCACGCATAGAACATCTATCGACTTCTCCTTGATTGCCGCTCACTAATGATTTTATGTGTTCTTGATTTTTTCTGTTTTCGTTCTGTCCCATCCGCGTTCCCGCACGCCATCGCCCTCTCTCACCACTGCATCGCCGTCTTACCGTCTAATCAAACCTGAAAAAAAAAAACAAAAAATCGCCATCATCGCCATCCGCAAAACCACGCACGGCAAACACCGAACATTTAACCACCGCCCGATCATCGCCCTAACCGCTGCCGTTGCTTAAGAAATTTGTCTACACCGAACCATCGTCAACCACACGACGAAATTCTGCCACTGACCCGTAACAACAACCACCAACACAAACACCCCGAATTGCTGGCCGATTGAAACGTAAAAAATTATATATAAATAAAAAAAAAATAAATAAAATTTCGGCATCACATGATAGAATCTCCCGATTGTATTCCCGACCACGACGAGTGCACTCCCTGATCGTCAATCAGACCCGGCGATTTTTAGTTTAGCCAACCCCAGACCGACAACGCGGTTAAACAGCCAGCTAGACGGGCCGGATTATCCGGACGACAGCGCGGTCTACAGCCATCTGCATGCTAGGTCCGATGATCTAGTGATAGGTGATACGGATGCGATTGTCGGCTGGCAGTACCGCGATTCGACAACGGACGACGATGAGATGTTAATACAAGATTCGCCAATGACGGACACGGAGAGCAATCAGTTGGAGGAACAAAATTCAGTGGAATTCAAGGTGCCCGAGACGGAAGCCCCACGGAAAACGCGAAAGTCTAGGAAGGAGCGCAGCACTACTACCAAGGTCACCAGGCGACAGAAAATTCGCGCCTGCAAGTCGACCACGAAGAGTTACGATTTAGATTTTAGCGATGATGCCGGCGTCAATTAACTAGAAAAACAGAAAGAGGAAGATAACTTGATACATATAGACGGTGGGAAAACGAGAATAAACCACCTGAAATCTGGAAAGCAGAAAGGATCAAGATTATTGGAAAGTGACGATTTTTATCGAAGGCTTGGATGACTTGTATCTGATGTATTATTACGAGTGATAAAAGACTTCTTACGCGCGAAAGAAAGCGCTTTGAGGATCGATGACAATTTTTTTTTGTATATTATACACTACTTTGATATTTTTCTTTCATGCAATCTATTACGAGTTTGCTTTTTTTTTATGGGAATACGCGAGACGAAATTTTCTGTTCGCGGATTCACGACAAATTTTCATTTAGTGATACATATAATCTCTTGTCTGTATTGCTTTCGTGAGTATAAAAATTACACTGTGTGTGATTGTTTAACTATGGATAATATATCTTAGCGAGAAACGGAAAGGTTGTTTAATACACTGATAGATATTTAATACACTAATAGATAAAAGACTTTTTGTACAATCTTTGTATCTCTATTTTTTAGAAAGACACGAAAATTTTGAAAGGCTTTAATCGTTACATGACTATAGTGGAGAACTTTTAATCATGTACACATTTTCGACCAAGATAAGACTTGTTAGTCGTTTCCACGTGTGCCTTACTTCGATTTGTATAATTATTCCACGTAAACTTCGTTCGATTCTAGGATTTATAAGGATTACGTACGTCTTAGCTGGAATATAAAATAGCTTTAGAAGCAATCTCAATATTTTTACGTAATATTCCGCACATTGCCTTGACGTTAATAATAATGATAATGCCAATTATGTCAAAGCGCGCGGTGACGTTTGGCATAAGTTTAAGAACGATAATAAAAACCCTAGGTAGCACAATTCATCGGCGTATATTGGCCCAACATATCCCCAATGTATGCCAATGTTTAACCAATGTTTCGCCAATGAATTGTGCTGCTCGGGAAATCGTTGAAATCAAGATATATCAACGAAAAAATTTGAAAATATTAATTAAAAATTCTGTTTAATTAACTATCAACAATTACATTTTTTTCTATTTTGTCGTTTTTATCTCACAATTTTTAAATAAGCTTCATGATGTGATTAAGACAATCAACCATCACGATGAACACTGAGACTTCGATTAACTCTAAGACTACATATCTTTTTTGAAACTACATGTGAGTTTCTTAAATCCAGTTGGATATTTTTATATGTATAAATGTATATTTTTTGATAAAAATTTTTTTTCGATAAAAATGCTAAATATTGTAAATCAATCAATTATAAAATAAAAATTCAAATTGGCTTACTAAATTACAAAATAAAATGTGGAGTGACTTGAAATTTTAGTCGGTTTTCAAAAACTGACGTATGTAGTCTTAGAGTTAGGTCCTTATTTCGACTTTGTCATAAGTAAGATTGTTATCTACAAAAAGACAACGAATCTTTAACTTAGATTAACTCGATCGAAGTCATTGAAGCAACTGGGACTTCAAGCATCTGTTTTATGCTGCATGCTCGATAAGTCATATGTTCTACAAGTTGCGTTTCGGGAAGATGAACTCAGAAAAAGGAGTTGTTAATATGAGAATTGAGAATGCATACAACGAGATGGACGATCACGCGTTCGTGTAATCGTCATCATTATCATCATTGTTGTCATAGCTAGTGTTATTCACATGTTTGTGTATTCGTCATCTCGTTTGCGCATTTCACCTACGAAGTTACCAAAAAAAAAAAAATTTGTTAGATCGCGCGCACACGGAAAAATTATAGTAACAATAAAATTAATCCTATCATCGACTACTGTGATCAACAATTGTTGGATATATCCTGTTGTATCAACGTCGATAAAATCCCTTTCGCTACTTGTTCGATGTCACTCATTTATGGAGACACAGACGGAAAAAGACGCGTGTGTTATTTGATGTTGATGTATGAAAGAGAGCATTTTTGTACGTAATTCATGTTATAGGCATACTGAGAAAAATATACTAAATCTTAATACATATTTTTTTCAATAGTACTAACTCAATATTTACTTGTAATAAATAAAAATTAACTCAATAAAAATTGATGATTATAAATCAAATTCTTGTGAGTTGTAAATAAATAAATATATGTTTACATTTAGTAAATATTCAATTAGTACTAATCAAATTCAAAACATTAAAATTTAGTACATTTTTTCAGTATATATGTAATCGATTATTCCTCTAGAGGATTGCGTATTATACCCTTGCGATCGGATGCTTTAACTGTACATGTATACGTTATAGTTTCGAATGAATTATCAGGGAATAATTTACGCGAAAATCATGCAGATCAGTTTTGGTCTTTGTGGCAACAAAGACAATCTCTGGCCGCGTAAACCCGATGCCTTCTCACGTATAATTTTCCGTGTGCGAGCGCTTAGCATCGAGCTGTTCTAGCGAGTAAGATTTTTTGTAACCGAGCCCAAAGACTCTGATTATTATGATGAGCTGATTCCTTTCTTTTCAAATAAAAATATTATTTGGATGAGCTTTTGATCCTCTGTTTTTGTTTGTTCATTTCGCCGCAACGACCGCGTCCTGTCTTACATCATCATCTCCCGCTGTATCCCGAACGGCGACTCTCATTCCAGGCATTAATTCTCGCACCAGCAGCGCATTCTTTCCAAAAATATAAGTTCACATTCAATTAATAGAACTAATCGCTAGACGACGCGCTATATTAGACGCGACGGTTACTCACGCATATTGCACGCATTTATATATCATCGGCCGTCGCGTGCTTCTGGACGGCGAATGTTTAACAGAAAGACACGTATATACATCCGGGAAAAGCAAGAAATCGCCTTTGGATTGATCTAAATCCGGCGTAAGGGGAGTTTGCCTTCCGTGACCGGGTGACGGCAGATAACACATTAACATCCTTTTGGTTGGTAAGATTTTTATTTTGTTTTCTTTTATTTAATCAACTCTTTGAGTTTTTCTCTCGATAACTTAATTCTTTTTTTTTTTTTTCATTTTTTTTCTCGCAGTAACATACTGTTCGCGTTATTTGTGGCGCAATGTTTCACGGGCGGTTTTCTTTTCCAGGGCGGCGGTGGGCTGGTGCAACAATTGAGGAAAAGTTACAGCCTCAGTGATCTAACCGGTGAGAAGGAGGACGAAAATAGAAACACACCCGATGCGCGTGACGAAACGGATATGGAAGGTAGCTGATCCCTCGCGTCGTGCTAATTAAATGGAGATTTTGCGAGAATAAAAACAAATATTTTGAGCGCAAGCAAATATTTCTTTTTAACATTTTTACAAACTTATATATTTATTTTTAATATATAATCACATTTAATATAATATAATTACTTAATATAATTATTTAATATTATTATTTAATATAATTATTTTATATAATTATTTAATATAATTATTTTTAATATAATTACATCTTTAATAAATATAATTATGTATGTACACTTTATAAATATGTAATTTTATACGTGTGTTTTACATAAATTTTTAAAAAGTCCTCGAAATATTTAAATAGTCCTCGAATATAAAACAAAACGGGCTTATAGTGACTTAATTTTAAGTAAATAAAATTTATATTTTTCTTATAGTAGAATCTCGTCGAAGAGAACACATTGGCAGAAGAGGCTATAGTCCTCGCAGGACTCAGTCCAGCAGCAATGCGTCTCAAGTAGAGATGTATTTTTCCGAAGTGGATGTCGATGTTCGACAGCCAAGGCCTAGGGAGCCTATAGCTAGTTTAACGTATGTAGTTCCGCACTTTTAAGAACAATCGCATTAACGTTAAGCGGTCGGTAATAATAAAATCTTTTCATATTTATAGAAATATAAGGTCCTCGGACGACATATCTAGCGGTTATAGTAGCGGCGAGGCGTTGCAATCCCAACGCACGACTTCTCAGGGTGACTCTTTAGTGAGAACATCAAGTGTCGGTGCGAGAACACGCGTGAAGCCTCGTTCTACCACGAAGAAGACGCCCGAAGTAAGCCCGAGTAGCATAGAGACTAATAATCGCGTACACATCTATCATTAACAAAAAAAAAGAAATTACACACATTCTCGCTCTTTCACGCACATTCGTCAATTCAGTTAATAACACGTACTTTTTTATGGTCTTTGAAGGACAGGGGCGAGGATTTCGACCGCACACCTTCCGAAAATGTCTCCCTACCATCGTCCCTAAACGTCCTCACTCCTGAACAAGCTATGGAGTTTTTACTGTTATTATCTCAAAGTAATAAATCGATAGACCGTCCGACGTCTATTACCGCTTATATCGATAACAATAAATCCGCAACGAAAATAGAAGATAATGAATCGTCATCAATGGAATCGAGCGGCGAGTTCGTTGACACAGACTCGGCTCAAATAAACGTGCAAACAGTGCAAACCATAGAGATCAAGAATATCTCGATGGAAAACTTGTCGATACCTGCGGTAACAAAAAGCGCAGACAAAATAAATATCGATTGTTCGATAAAGGAATCTGATTCTCAGCAAAACGATTCTAACACGCAAATCGAATATATTGATGAACCGAAAAATAATCAAGGAGTAGTTTCAACTGTTTCCCAAAAGCCTGATACAGAAACTGATTTTAAACGAATAACCGGCGAGATATGTCAGCAAAAATTCGACGAGTTGAAGCAATTATTAGATGATGCGCACAAAGCTGTAACAAGCATCGTATCTTCCCAAGAGAAATTGAATACGATCGACAAAGGTAAGGAACATGTAAATATACGAGAAATTAGGACTGACGATTCGTTGAGTACTTGTGCTCGTAATACTGCGGTTCAATCTCCCATTACGCCAAGTACATCGAATTCCGATCTTGATGGCGACACTCGCGCAGGAAAATATCATAAAAAACCCGCTCCGAAAGCTCCAAGTAACGAGGTAATAAGCAATGAAGATATTGACGAAAACGAGTCTCAAAACGCTTTGAGGGCCACCTTGGTCATTAAAACTGGTACACTGAGAACTGTTTCAAACGCGGATGCTACGAAAGATATATTCTTAGCGCATAACCCGGACACGAAAAAAAGAAAGAAGAAATCTAACAGATTACGCGCCAAGGAGAGTTTTTCCAAATTATTAACGATCCCAAAGAACATCTTTCACAATGCTTTCCACAAGGAACAAAATGAAGTTTCCGCTAAGGAGGAAGATTCCAGCTCCTCGTATTCTGAGACTAGTGGATCCGCATCGAGATCGGGTAGTATCGGATCCCAGATGTTTGTAGACACATCCTCAAAATTATCTGTTTCAAAACAAGAAGTGGACGTAGTAGAGATTCCACTGAGACCGGAGTGCGATGACAACATTAAAAATTTCGACAAAGATATAAACACTTTTACTGAAAATTTAGATACTGAAATTGTGCCCTTGAACGAAATTAAAGTAGATTTTAAAATTGAAGATAATAAGAAAGAAGAAGGTGCAATGAATATAGAAAAATCCGAAAATCATGAAGATAATATTAAAAATGAATCAAACTCACAGATTCGTGAAATGTCACAGTCGTTACCTTACGACAACAAAAAAGAGATTGTCACTGACATTAATTAAATGCATTTCATTAATGTCGCATATTTCATAGAGAAATTATGTTAGCTGTATTAAATAATTACATATACTTGGTTTTGTCTTTGATGTTTTTAAAATATGATAAAAGCTTGTTCGTTCTCTCTATCCTAACTCCCATATTTCGTATTTTATCCTAAATAGGAAATTCGGCCAGAAGAGATGGACTGTTCCATTAAGATCGTATGGACTAGTTTCTGATTTCTGAGTCTTGTTAATCCACAATTAACTACAATTTTTTTTTAATTATAACTCATAACACTTAACTGCGCGTTTTAATCTTGCATGATATTAATATTTAATGTGGTATTATAATGCAATTAATCCATAATTTTTTTAATTACATGAGTGAATGGTTTGTTCATTTCAAATAAGGGATTTGTATATTTGAACTTATAAGTAATCTTATGAGTAATTGGTTGAGTTTTAGTATAACTTTTCAAAGAAAATGATCTTGCTCTTCATTTTTTATCACTTATAAATTTCATCAAAACCATAAAAAATGGTGAGAGCTTGGTAATGTTATCTGAATACATAGTAAAAATATAAGCTACAATAACATTGTTTCTTTATTTCAGATAACGAGTTTCGCTACCTTACCTCGCAGTAAGAAGACCAGTAAGAAAAAAGTGGCATGAAACCTTCCTGCTGCTGACCTGATTAAGGAGTAAGACCAAGTCCCTTGTAACGAAGGCAAAAAAGTATCTTCATCGGTGTGCGGATCAAATATTTGCACCAGCCAGTAATAGACACACTAATCGGTCAGCAGCGAATATCGATTAGCCAAAATACGCAATGTATACAACTGAATGTTTCTAGAACCGGTATTACTTAATTCAGCTTTTTGATTTAACTTATCGAGTATTAGTTTTATCAGTCGAAAAAGAGAGAATCTTGTCTTTTCTCTCATTTATTCGAAAGGAGTTGCTGGATATAGGCCAGGGTTATAAAGGAAATTCCAGGGAATGGAAGTAACTCATTACTCGTTACGAAGTTACAGTTACGAGTTACTTTTTTAGTAATTTTACTGGTAACTGCGTTACTTTTTTTTCTTTGGTAACTATAATGGTAACGAAGTTACATTTTTTTGGTAACGATAATGAATTTTATAGTTACTTTAAAGGTGAAGTCCCATGGAGCCAGCGTACGGTGTACCGGCGTAAGGCGTAAAGAAACTAAGCCAATCACAGACTTTACGCCCGTTTTTGTTACCTCAGCACGAATTCACGCTGGTTTTTTTTAGCGTTCCAGCGTTACGTTACACACAAACACACGCGCATATACGTGTATAGAGTTTAGAAAACAATTCAATTTCTAACCTAATAGAAAAATATTGTGAACAAGAATTAAATATGGATATCATGCTATCTCCTGAAGTTAAATATCGCAAGCAGATTTAAAGGCGAATGCGAGCAGAAATTGGCTCACGAATAAGAAATTGTTTCTGTATATGTGATGAAACAATCTACAACAGTTTTTCAAATGTTTCTGGTGTTATTCGAAAATAATTGAAAAATTTTTCTCTGTCTTCGAAAATCATTTCTTACACCAAATTATTGCTAGCTCATTGTGTTATTCGTCTTTCAATAGTAAAAATTGGTCTAACCCAAAATTTTCGAGCATTGCATCTAATTGCAGAATCTCTTTTCTTCTCTTCAGCTCTCATTCATATATTATATACATTTGAACTAATTTTCGTCGAACAGTTTCTTTACACAAAGTACTTTCCGAGCATTTATAAATTCTCAAATATTTTATTAAATGGATTAACGTTATTTCAAAGTTCAATATTTTAGTTCAGATTATGTACATTTGTTTTCACTTCATGTGATGTATGTGTTAAAACGTCACGCTTAAAATTTCATCGAGTGTCCCATGGGGCGTATTCTACAATATGCAAAGTAAGCTTGGTTTAAGAAGTAAGAGTAAAAGATTGACCAATTATAGTCGATTGTGATAAGAATAATCGACTCTGATTGATCAATTTCTTACTCTTACTTCTTAAACCAAGTTTACTACGTGTAGACGGGTCATAACGTAACGCTGGAACGCTAAAAAAACCAGTGTGAATTTGTGCTGGGGTAACAAAAGCGGGCGTAAAGCCTATGATTGGCCTAGTTCCTTCACGCCGTGCACTGGCTCCATGGGACTTCACCTTTATCGTTACTTTGCACGATTGGACACAAGCCACTCATGGCGCTTGAAACTAGAAAGTCCCTAGGCCCGCCTGCTGTGATTGATGGTCGTCAGTAGGTATACTAGGCGGGTTCTAAC